ATGGATTATTTTTATTTATGAAATCTAAATTCATGGGTTTAATTTTCTTTTCTTTTTTGTAATATGGCTGAAGCTAATACTTAATTTGCATGCTACATGTCCTACTTTATTCATGAATTTTCTTCAAATAACACCTATAAGTAGTGGATAGCTGACACCACCACTATAAATAAAAAGCTTATATCTTTGATTCAAAGTCAAATTAACACATTCACATGTAAACAGTAACTTTAACCAAAGACCTATTAATTTACATTATTTCATTGCTATCTAACTTTACCCTTTTATTTTAGTGATCAACATATCATTTATGCCTTATTATTATTATTGTTCTAATACTTTCAGTGTACTTTGTTATTTGAAATATTTGAAGAACCCAATAAAAAATAAAGATAAATACAAACAATTGCCATATACATAGCCAAGATTATATTTTAATAGTGACATTCATTATCGTATAGTTGATCTTTTGGGTAAAAAAAAGTCTTACACATATCACAAACTTGCTAAGAATAATTATTTTGTTTTTTCTATATATTACCCAAAAAAGATGACTATCTTATTCAGGCACATGCATATTACTTCAAATAAGTGATTATATGCTTTGCTGATCTAATATAAGTGTCAACCTTATGATTATTTTCTTTCATTATAGTAATATCAAGTTTACTCGTATTGTTATTGCTTTTGAAAATGATAGATTCCGTTTTGTTATTCTTTGCTTTATTCCAAGTCAATTGTTTTTTTTTTTTTTTTTTTTTTTCATTCTTAAACTAACAAGAACTAATACTAAGCTGTCATATTCATATTTATTCCTTTATATGTATTATCGTATGGGATAATACTGAATCCTCAATTTATGGGTATTGATCTCAGGTATGTAATTCAATTTTCAATTTTCTCCACATGTTCTTTGCTTTATAGGATTACAAGTTATGTCATTGCAAAAATAGATTTATGGTTTGCATGTTATAGTTTTGGTTGTTTGGTCTTCTTATGACTAATAATATAGTATCTATGCATCTATGTTATACAAATATATTCTTTCTTTTCTATTTTGTAGATAAATGAATATATTCTTATTTACTAATGGGGGAATCATTGTTGTATTTTCTTCTTTGTCAGAGTTTGAAGAATGGGATGGTTACTTATCAACCTATCAATTATTGTAAAAACGTGTTGAAAATGGCTCTATTGTCTTTAAGCTAAAATGTAATTACCAATTAGCAATTAAAAGGTACTAATATTATAGGCATTACATTTCTTAAGTGTAAAGTGACTTTATAACACTTTGAGACATTTTTTATTGTCAATTTAAAGCTTAACAAAAGATATTCATTTAATTTTATAGAATTTTTGTCGTTTATTGTTTATTTGAGTTTGCTTGAAAAATATTTTTATCTAAGTTTTAAACAAATGAGCATAATGATATGTACATTATTGTTGGTAATCAATAAAAAGTTTTAAAATTTGAATTAAAAATATAAAAAATAATTTACTAACAAAAATAAATAAAATAACCAAAAATTAATTTTTTTTAAAAATTATAATTTGTATATGTACTGAAGTGCAAGTAACGGACTAGTATAATTAAAACAATCCTTAAGGAGTTATTTGTTTGACATTTGGTAAAATTTAATTTTTTTTTTTTTTGTGTCTATTGTTTTTAGGAATCCATTGTTTGTTATTTGTCAAGATTTAATTGGTTGATTTTGTTAATTAATAATTAATTATTAAGTATATGGACTTCGCTCATTTCTTTTAGAAAAATGGACTGAGTAAATAGTTATATAGGTTATAAAAATAGAGTGAGTCAAATGGGCTGAAAAAATGACAAGGCTTTTACTCATTTGTGTTGAAAAAATGGGCCGAGTAAATTAGGGTCAATATTAATTATAGGATTAATAATTTTTTTTAGTTACTTATAATAATAATAATAATAATAATAATAATAGTTATTAATTTTAATCTATTTTTTAATTTACATATTTAAATTTATACTTTATATATAATATAATAATAGTAGTAATTATAATAGAAACATTAAAATTAGCTTATGTATTGCAATGTAAATTGTATATTTGAGACTCAAATTTAATTTAATTAATTTGAATATAATATTATATATTATATGTTGAAAATTTCAATAAATACTAAAATCTTAAAAATTTAAAAATTTAATTGGGGTGATGTCATTTATTAATAAGATAAAATTATAAAATGAGTTAGATACACTTTAATGATATTTTAAATTAGAGTTAATCGTGTTAAGTTTAAAATGTTTTAGGGAAAAAACAATAAAATTGATTTTAGTTTAAATTCAAAACTATCTTCAATTATTATTATTTTTATACATTATATTAAAATTATTCTAACTAGAGGTTCACTTACTATCGTAGATAAGTCATGAATATTGAATAGTTTGATTTTATTATGCTTTATTTTAAGTTATATGAATTTAATTATTCACGAACTTAATCATTATTAAATTTATGGTATTTATAAATCTAATTAATTATAGATGAATTTTTTTAATATTTGAGAATACAATCATGATTATTGAAACTATAAGTTCAATATTCTACTAATAAATCACGTGATCGTTAGATTAAATAATTATCTTTAATAATTTTAATGTCATTTTAAATTTATTGTACCTATTTATTTAGTCAACAAGATTAACTCCCTTTACCGCCTAGCCAATACATGTTTGATTGTCACATCACTATCAGAGAGGCTCAAAATCCAGATTTATTGTCATAAAATAGGCTCGTCTCTTGTCAAAAAAGGATTTGTTCAACATTTTCATTAACATCTTATCAAAACATCATTTTGAAATTAAATATTTAACATTTAATTTACTTAAAATTATTAAATATAATCTACATTTGTCTGAAATCGTTAAATATAATTCATAATCATTTACGTTATTTTTTTTTAAACTTAACGTAAATTTATCATCAACTATCAACTATCTCAATCATATCACCATCATTTATCTTATATAAAAAATAAAAATGAAACCGGGTACGTAAAAACTAAGCTTCATTCTCTCTGAAGTTTCTTCATTATTCATTGTTTACCTTCTTAATCACGAAACTTTCAAACACCTCATTGATTTAAGTGTTTAAGCACATATCGGAGAATCAACTTCAGCATTCCTTAACTGTAATTACCTGCTATGGGTTTAGGTTCTCCTTTACTCTGAGATAGCTTCCTTCCAGCTATTAATCCAAAAACACCACCAATAAAGTTTAATGTTTTTAGTTTAAATTCATATATACTGAGTAGTATAAATATTTATGAATCAATTATAAATTTGTACATGTCAAATTTATGCTCTTTTGGTGTAATTATTTAAACTCTTTATACGTAAATATCAATTATGATTATGCTTAATGTATATTTAAAAATTCTATTTCAATTTAATTTTTTTTTTTATATTTCTGTACATTGTAAAAATAAAAATGATTAGTTTTGAATCATTAAAAATTAAAAATTAATTTTTAGTTTACATATCAAAAGTTCGAACTAAATGAATTAGTTGACATTACGTACCATTTCATAATATTTTTTTTTTACAAAATTTTCATTAAAAGTTGCAAATTACTATTTGGGGAAATATATACTATTTGTTCATAATAAAATTTTGAATATTTTTATTACATATGTACTTTAAAATAACTTTTGACAAATAGGAAATAGGCTAAAGGATAAGAAAAAACTTTTGAACTATAATTAACAAATCATCCAAACCTTTAATTTTTTTATTACAATAAATTAACTTCTGTAACATCTATTTGCATCCAATTAAGTTGTATTTAGATAAAAAAATTTAACATTGTTAATTTTTTGCTAACTAAGATAAATTTTTTTAAGACATTAATAAAATAAATTAAAATTTGTCGCATTATGTAATTAATATATATGAAAATAAATTTTTTTTCTTTACTTTCTCATTTTATCTATTTAAAATCTCTTTAAAAATTTTAAAAATTAAAATTCAAAATTAATTGATTAAATTTTATCATATGATTATATTTTGTATATATAAAGTTCAATTGAACCAAAATAAAAGATTAAAAACTTTATTGATTATAATAAAATATTAAATATTGAAATAATTATTAAATTACCATTCAAAAATATTTTTACCCCTTTGCCTAAAAAACACCATATGCAAAGTTATCACAACAATCCAATGCACGCATTTATAGATATTTTTCAATGGGTAGATAAGATAAAGATGTTTCTGAGGAGAGTAATAGAATAAAAAACAAATTTATCTTGAATCAAATCTACATTACAGAAGATAGAGATCCAGCTCATCTCTTTGTTAGTTCGTTTGATAAGAAAAAAATAAAAAAATAAAAAAAAATTTTAATCTAATAATTGAGTTTTATAAAATAAAATATGTTATTATAAAAATCAATCTTAAATTAAAAAAATTTTCATTATTACTGCTTTGCATCTTTCTTGCCAAATATAACATCCTCCTCCTTTCGAATAATTATTAGACCCAAAGCAGTTCATCAGATAAAAAATTTACATGAAAAATAAAATATTTAAAAATTAATAAATAATGATAAACATAACACAAAATATGGTAAATAATTATTTGAACCATGAAATATATATATGTAGGTTCTGTAGAAATTTTATCAAGCTTGTTTTTTTAATCAAATTATTATAATAAAACTACTTTTAAGATTTGTCTAAAACAATTTTTAATTGGATTATTAAATTTTTAAAAATTTACTACAAATTTAGTGTGTGAAATTTGTTATGTTGTTCAGACTCACCAATGGGTGTGAATTTAAAAATTTTAATAAAAAATAACTAAAAAGAAAAAGAAAAAATTGATAATTTTGCCATTAGATATGCCTGTTCGGCTCCTTCCATTGTTGAACGGTTGAAGTAAAGGCATTCAGAAACTTACCTTCACCTCTTTTTTTTTTTTTTTTTAATTAAAATCAAAAGAAAAGAAGTCACAAGTTTTTTCTGATTTTCCATTTTTCCTACGCTCTGTATTTTTTTTCTAACCCAACCTCCAGTGCAGCTTATCTTGTAACGCTAGCCCCCTCCTTATTTCTCTCTTTGACCTCCATAGATCTCAAGACCCAAGCTGTCATGGGTTCCAGGAAGGGCATTGAAAATGATGGTGCTAGCCCTGGGTAATAGAAATTTATAACCTGTCCCGTCTTTTAATATCTAAATTTTCTTGTTATTTAGTTTTTTTCCTTATTTTTTGTGCAGAAAAATCTTTATTGGAGGCTTAGCTAAGGACACAACTCTTGGTGAGCTGAGCTTCTTTTTTTTTTTTCTCGTTGAGGTTTTTATTTGTTTTTCTTTGATGGGCAAAATACTGACTTTTATCAACATTTGCATGGGGTAATGATTTTCTCATTCTGAGATACCAATATAGTTCGATGAAAAATTTGTTTCTCTCATTTGTATCAATGCCGATGCCAAATAGTTGGCTTATAAAATATTAATGAGTATCAGTTTCAAGTTAATAGTAAAACATCATTTATGTAATAGTAGATTCTTAGAGTGGCTGGAGTGACAATCTGGAAGTGTTCATTTTGTTTCTTAGATATATCCATACAGATATCATTACATCATCTATTTTACCGTGCTTGTATTCACCACATATCATTTTAGACCTGTTGCTAGTTGTTAACTGGCCTATAAGAGTGTTTCTAGTTAGTTATAATTTTGGAGAAATTATTTGCTGGTTGGTGATCAGATGGTTGGAGAAGTTTATTTAATACTTACTGATCAGAGTATGTCAAGTTCTTATCATGAGTTGGTGACAATAGAGTAGACAATCTTGAATTATGCTGTTTTAAAGTTCTGGTTTTCATGGAAATATGCTTTTATAATGTTATTTCCTTTTCCTTGTTATTTGCTGATCAAAGATCGTTATGTGCAATTTACCTTTTTGAACCAGACAAACAATGTCTCTTCCTTTCCTTCTCTGTATATGGTGTTTTTGCCTTTAGGACCACAAAATAATGAAGCCTTTTAATTAGAAAGGACAAGAAGAAGACATCGCTTTTTTCACATTTGTTTACCTAGTGAAAAGTTATATAATTAATCGTATAAGTGGATCGGCACATTCTTGTCTTCAGACATGTTATGCATCAAGCATTTTTGGATTGCAGAAGCTATAGAAACATGTAGTAATATATAATTAATTGCTTTGAAAGATAATTTCATGGGCTAGGAGTTGGTAATTTCATGTTTTACTCTGGCTATGAGTTGGTATTGAAGTTAAAGTATGTGAAGTGTTGGTATATCTAAGAAAGATATGAATCAATAGGGTGTCCGACATTGAAGCACTCTAAGAAGTTCAACTTCAATTCTACCTGAGATTAATCTTTTTTGGCATATAATTACATTGCTCTTGTAGATTGCTTAAATCATCTCGTGGTTAGTTTTCTCAGATAAATTCAATTTCCATGTCCAATTTTCTTCATTAGGGCTCCCATAGGTCAAGGATATGGCTTGACAGAAACATGTTTGGAGCTAGGTCTCATAGCCTGTGAGTAGCAACTAATATGAACTTTTGTTCGTTTTCACCTGCAGGTTGATGAGAGGGGCATATGCTGGTTTTACACTGGAGACATTGGACAATTTCATCCTGATGGATGCCTTGGGATTATTGATAGGAAAAAGGATATCGTCAAACTTCAACATGGAGAGTATATATCTCTTGGAAAGGTGTTTATAAAGAACCTTTGTCCAATACTTTGACAAGTACTGGATGGGATGCTCATTTGGATCAAATGCTGATTGCAGGTTGAGGCAGCGTTGATATTGAGCAACTTTGTTGACAATTTGATGGTATATGCAGATCCGTTTCACAGCTATTGTGTAGCTTTGGTTGTTCCATCACACCAGGTTCTTGAGAAGTGGGCCCAAGAAGCTGGCATAAAGTACAAAGATTATCCAGAGCTGTGTGGCAAAGCTGAAACTGTTAGTGAGGTCCAAAGGTCTCTTTCCAAGGTTGGTTTATTTCTTTTTACATACTATAACTTTCTCGGAACAATGGAGATAAGTTTCAAATGCAAAAAACACAATTATAAGTCATTATCATTATATATAAACATCAAAACCTATGTTTGATGATCTCTTCACAACTTTGAAACATAGTTGCATGCGTGCGATCAGTCATGCTTGCATTACCTATGGCATAAGTTGTTGGCATTATAATTTTTTTTGGCTGGATGTAACTGCTGAATGAAGAAATACTTGTTATATGGAAAAAGGAGACTTTGATGCTTTTTGCTCCAACTTATAAGTCTATTTGAGCCTCAGAGGATTTCTTTATTTTTCCATTCTATACCATATAAAACGGTGAGAGTTTTGCGTGTGCAGGTGGCAAAGGATGCAAAACTGGACAAATTTGAAATACCCGCAAAGATTATGTTGCTACCAGATCCATGGACACCCGAGTCTGGATTAGTCACTGCGGCTCTCAAAATAAAGAGGGAACCGCTGAAAGCCAAGTTCAAAGAAGCACTCGAAAAGTTGTACGAGTAAAACGGTATTTCACAATCACATGCTCTCTGTTCTATGGGAAATCTGTTTAATGCTACCCTGTAAGTTTGTGTATTTTTAGACAAAATCAGATTTATATTGAGATCATATATGTTATTGTAGTCAAAATTTAGAGTTCAATACATTAATCTTAAAACTAAAATGCCTTTCTCCCAACTACGGAATCAATGTATTCACTTGTATAACTGCAGTATAATTATTCAATTATAATATATTATTATATAGTGTCGGTAAAAAATTAAGTGGAAATCATACTTTTAAGGGGTGGATTATACATAATTTTTGTTGTGATTGACTAATTATAAAATTATTATAGTAAAAAGAATTATAAGAGAAATCGTCCTGTATTCAAGCCTTTTTGTAAGAGGGTTTTCAGAGCGATGTTGTGGCTGCTTGTTAATGCACAGTAGTGCAGACTGCCTTACAGGTCAGGAATGGCTTCTTCTTTGACTAAGGCCACGTTTGGAATCATTTGATTAGTAAAGAAAATGAAAAGGGCATACTTATGTTTTTATTGAGGTATCATTTGATTTTTCTTTTCCTATTTATCTTTTGCTTTCGAGAGTAAAAAGCAAGTTTATGATAGAAAAATTTTTTTTTTGAGCAATTAAAATTAAAAGAATGTGATTTTTTAGAATTTAATTTTTATATAGAATTTTATATTAGAATTAATATTTCTTTATTTTTATTGATAAATTGTTTATTCATTTTAATCAACTATAATTTACCTTACAATGTTTTTACTTTTGATATTAATTTCCTAAAAAATTTAAAAAATAAAATTAAAAGTAATAATCAGATTATCCCTATTTTAAAAAGGAGGAAATGAGAAAATTGATTCCCCACTCTCCTCATAAAACCAAACATGGTGTTAGCTAGAAAGAACAAAACGGTGTGATTTGAACAAAGTTGAAACCGCGCAGAAATTGATAACCGTCGGAACGACCAAAGCTCAATCACAGCCTCTCGCTTGGGATTCTCTTCTTTTCCTTCACCTTCCCTTTATCAGATAGGTAATATCCTTCTCAGTTCCCACTTCTCTGTCATGGTCGAAGCTTCTAGAATCTTCCACACAACCTACTCTCCTCCCCACAACTCAGCAAGCAACGTTACTGTCACAGTTACCCTTCTTTTGTCTCAGGAAAGTACGCCCATTTCAATGCTCAGTTTCCACCAGTGAAACCAAACCCACATCGTCCAACGCTACCCAGGAAGTGCCTTGGGGATGCGATATTGATTCCCTGGAGAACGTTGAGGCTCTTCAAGAATGGCTGTCAGATTTAGGCTAGCCTCCGCAAAAGATGAGGATAGACAAAGTGGAAGTAGAGGAGAGAAGACTGGTTGCTTTGAAGAATGCAAGGAAGGTTGAGAAGCTTCTCTTTGTGCCTCCCTCGCGTTTCATCACTGCAGATTCAGTAAGTTATTAGTTCTGATTTTGTTTTTCCTTATCATTTTTAATGTTACTATATCTGGGTTTGGGAGTTCTTGAGTTACAAATGCAATCAGATATATGCTTTGAAGTGTGAAACATGGATCCTTTGTGATAGTCTTCAATTGGTTTAAGTTAAACATAGGAGCACTTTAATTGGTTTGAGCGTTATAATTCTTCTTTAATTGGTCTAAGTTAAACATGGAAGCACTTCAATTTTATTTGCTACGTGCGGCTGTGATTTTTTGCATGCTAGGAGTGGATTTCCCCTGAGGCTGGTCAAATATTAAAACCAGTATCTATCCCACATTGGCCATTGCTAGCAACCTATCTTGCTAGTGAAGCAAGTCTCCAGAAATCTTCCCGATGGAGAAATTACATATCCGCCCTTCCCCAACAGCCCTATTCACTTTTGTACTGGTGAGTTGACTCTCCTTCATTACTTTTTCACATGTCAGAGATATTAACAGTTTTACCTTGCTACAGAGAGGGTCTACCCTCAGATTTCCCCTCTACAGCCTCTCTGTATTGTTTCAGGACACGCGCAGAAGTAGACAGGTATCTAGAAGCATCACAGATAAGGCAGCGCGCTATTGAAAGAATTACTGATGTTATCGGGACGTATGGCTCTTTACTGGTTACTCTTGTTTCCAAGCTTAATTCTTGTTTCATATTAGGTTATTGGTTTATATTTTCATGTTACTGCTGTCATATTCCCAAGTATACAATGTTCTAATTTGCCTTTTATCATTTGTCTTCATGTAGATACAATGATTTATGACTCAGGATATTTTCCAAGTGTCCTGATTTATTCCCTGAAGAGGTACTTATCCTATAATGCACAACTACTTTTCTGCTATGTTAGTGTAATTTGAAGCACTCATCTGATGATCTGCTTCTGACGCTACAGCTCTATGAAGCTTTTGTAATAAGGCATATGAACATATGCATAGATGATAGCTTTTGCTTTAAGTTCAATCAGTAAGGAAATATCAGTTTGTGCTATCCAAGTTTTTATACTCAAGCAAAATTAATAAGGCAAAAGTATATTTTTAGTATTTCAAGTTTATTGGTATATGCGTTATTTTACCAACCTTTAGAATTCAACCCCTATGCATTGCATCTAATTTCCAAGATTGTGCTTACATCCTGTGGCTGTTAGATCATGAAGGTGCCTTCTTATTTTGCACTATAAATGATTTGCAGGTATTCAACATGGAGACATTCAGGTGGTCCTTTGGCATTCTTTTCTCACGACTCGTAAGTAAAGCTTATTTAGAAATTTTATAATGGATCTTAACCTCAACTGTGTTTATTAATTCAAAACATAGTTGGGTTTTAGGAGAATTTATTTTCAATTTTGTGAAAATTTCAATAACTTGTTTTGAAGTATAAATTGATCCCACAATGCTGTCGAGAAATTAAGTCATTTATCAAAGTAAGGTTCATAAGTTTATGTTGTGTGTTTTTCTTACCACTCTCAGCTTTTATAAATCCTTGACCTGGTCACTTGGAAAATGATTACTTATGCAATTAGTGATACTAAAAAACTTGAGAGGCCTAGAATTTTGAATAGAATAAATTATATGAAATTATATAACTCTGCCACAAAATTTAACTAAAGAGGGAAATAAATTGCTGTACTTTTCAATTTTCCTTTCATACCACTTATCTACGTGACTAACTATTATATGCAATTTTGCATCATAATGTTCTGTGCGGTTTAACAGAAAGTATGAAAGTGGATAGTTAATTTAGAAGTATGGAAAAGTTAAAATTTTCATTTTGCTGTTAAACACAGGTAAGGCTACAATGGATGGAAAGGTTGCCTTGGTTCCTTGGGCAGATATGCTCAACCATAACTGTGAGGTATAGAGATGTCTTTCTCTATTAAGGATGCATATCAATCTAAGTACCTTTAAACCAAAACAAAAAATTTAATCTAAGCCCCTTCACTTGTATTTCGCTGGTTAAGGTGGAAACATTTTTGGATTATGACAAATCATCACAGGGTGTTGTCTTTACAGCAGATCAGGCATATCAACCAGGTGAGCAGGTATATGAGATTCTTTGATCACAGGGATCATAGGTGATTTTCTTTGATCACAGGAATCATAGATGATTGGATATATTTTTTTTCCTCATTATTTTTATATTTAATTTTGTTTTGATAGTCCTAGATTTTTGGGTTTTATTCAGTGAGGTATTAAAATTATTCCATTTCTTATCTAATTGTTAAATATCTTAGCAACCATATCTTTATCTTCTGAAGAAGCTTAATTCTCAAACATTATTTATCATTTGTGCTTCCTTCGTTATCTAAATGTGTTTTTTTGTTACATTTTATTTTCTTATTTTCAATGTATGAATCTTTCTGGCAGTTCTCAGTGTTATCCTATACAAATCACTGGCTGGCCATTGGAGTTAATGGCATGTGCTTACCTGGCAGTCGGCCCCACAAGCATGAGCAGGCAGTTTGAAGAGGTTTGAGAACTCTTAACTTCTAAATGACAGACCAAAAATTTCGTTATTGAATTCTTAATGGTTGCTTCTCCGGATGGCTGCTGCAACATCAAATAAATCTATTACCAAGGACTTAAGATACCCTGAAATTGAAGAAAAAGCACTGCAATTTATTCTTGACAATTGTGAATCAAGCATATCAAAGTACTCCAAATTCTTGCAGGTGAACGAACCATCTTTTCTGGGAACCCAAAAAACCGTGGATGGATTGAAATTACCAAAAAAATACAACTCTTTATTCAATAGGACTGAATAGCACCTGGTCTTTAAATACCTCCAAGTCAGTATGTAATTTTGTTTAAATTTTTTGTGGGCAAGTATCTCCATGGAGTTGGATGTGGCATCTCTAAAGCAGTCGCAGTAGATATATGTACAAGTGATTAGAGAATACTATTTCGCGCTCAATATGTAAGACTACATATCCTTGGCTTTTTCAAATTTCAATTTAGGGTGTTTAGTGCATCACTGTTAATGCTTGTTCAACAACCAATCATTTATAATCTGTTGTTTGAACTTCCTCGAGTGAATGCAGGGTTTTCTGTAAGCCATCTGCTTAGGCTTAGGGTTTTTCCTTTACTAGAGTTAAGTACTCATTTTTTTGGCTGCTTGGGAATTGAGGTGCTCTTTATTCTGTATATCAAATTCCACCACTTATTTTCACTGAATTAAGGTCGAGCATGCCTAGGATTTATCAATGCAAAATATTAATTAGATGTTGCACGATCTAGTTACCCGGCATATAATTTCATGAAAATTATAAGGAATTTAAACCGTGAAGCTATTAGCATACGCACATAAATACCATGCATACGCTTCTCCAAAATAATTATATGTTGCTTCCTAATCGACCTATGCTTCTGCTTCATTCTGCTTATGTGAATGGTTCCAGATACTGAGGACGAAAGTGAGGGATATGAGGAGTGGTGAATTCAGAGCTTTAAGAATCTTTGATGGATTACGGAACATTTTTACATAAAGATTTTCCTCAAATGAGCCTAGGTAACTTAAAGAAATTCTGTCATGTTCAATGTAACAATGTAGTATTCTGACATGAAAACGCAGAAATTTATCAAAAAAAAAAAAAAAAAAAGACATGAATCTGTTTATTTAGTCAACTATTTCTGAGTTACTTATTTTATGATCAGCAATTTTTGCTTGTAATGTTGCATGTACGGAATTGATTGATCAAAATGTATGAAACTACACCAGCCCCATGGTGCATCAGGGCATGGTCCTCGATTTGACAGGTTGATCAGGTAAAGCCTATAACCACAGTATAAGAACCTTTGTGATTTCTATTGTTCCATAGGAGTGGAAATGTGTAAACAATCAGCTCTTGTATATTTCAAATGCTACCCTAAAATCTGAATGACATGCAAAATGACAAAGATTTCCACTTTCTACTTTAAATTTGTCTATGATTTCTTTTTACCAAGCAGCCATAGATTGGGATAAGAAAAGAAATAGTAAATATTACCACTTAATCTTTAAATTTATTAGATATAATTTTTTAAAAGTAGTTATATACATCAAATAAATTAAATTCGGATTTGTAATTTTTTTGTTACATTTTTCATGGAGTTGAAAAATCTACCCTCATTTATATTAATATTTTCACTAACTATTATTTTTCACACGTTGTACATAACACAGTAATTTATTTTAAGAGTAAAAAAATGATGAATTGTGAATTGATAGAAGGTTTTTCTAAGATTAGTAATTTTTCCACTTAATGCTAGTCAGATAAGATTAATCATTTTGGTATAATGACCTATCAATATTTAATACACAGCAAACACTCTCAAAAACACGTAGATAAAAGGTAAATGACACTAATAATAATAATAATAATAAACCTTTCACAAATTATCACTTATATTCTTTCTAAATAGTCACCCAAAAAAAACAGTTTTTAAAATTAAAAAAAATCCATCCAAAAGATAAAATAAAAAAAAAATTATTAACGCTTCTAGATTTGAATGTTATTGAATTTAATTTTTTTAAATAAAATTTCAGTTTCAAATATTATAAATAAAAAAATAAATTTAAAAAAAATTTAATTCGATTTTAAATTAATTTATATTTAAAATGATTATTGAACACCAAAATTTCAAAAAAAAAAATTTACGCTTTTTTTTTATTTATAAAAGAAATCCACTCAGCTACAACTAAAAAAAAAAAAAACCCTACATTCAGCAGCAGCTGACCTCAGTTTCCCAAAACAACTGTTTAATTACACGGCCAAAAAGCCGAAGTTAGGGTTTTTCAGTTGCAAGAATGGAGGGATTGATTTCCCTGAAAACAACTCCTGGAATTTCCTCCCAATCGATTCCTTCCTTTAATCACCCACCTAATTTCTTCCTCAGACGCTCCTCAATGGATCTTCCTCTCCGTCGCTCCAATTTTTTCGCCATTCGAGCCCATCAGGTTTTATAATAAAAATACTAATAATCATCATCTAAATAATAGACATAAAATTTTATATTTTATCATTATTATTATTTTGAAATTTTTGTGTAGTCGGATACGGTATCTCCGAAAAAGGAAGAGGATGAAGATGCTTTAAAAGTAAAGGAGTGGGAAGTTGGAATGTTCCAAAACGAAGTCGCAGCCAGTCAAGGAATAAGAATTCGGCGACGCCCACCGACAGGTCCGCCGTTGCATTACGTGGGTCCGTTCGAGTTCCGTTTGCAGAACGAGGGTAACACTCCTCGTAACATTCTCGAAGAAATCGTTTGGCACAAAGATATGGAAGTTTCCGAAGTAATTTTATAGTGTTCATTTAATTTAAATTTATTGGCTTTTGCCTTTTTTTTTAATCGTGCGGTGATAATGATTTTTCGGTTTTGAAAGATGAAAGGGAAGAAGCCTTTGGCTGCGTTGAAGAAGGTTATTGAGAATGCACCTCCGACTAGAGATTTCGTTGGGGCTCTTAAGGCGGCTCATTCGCGGGCTGGATTGCCTGGTTTAATTGCTGAAGTTAAGAAGGCTTCTCCTAGCAGAGGAATTCTCAGAGAGAATTTTGATCCTGTAAAGTATTTCTTTTTCTTTTAATTATAATAACTGTTCTTCCTTTCTAATTATTTTACTCATTATTGAAACGAAATTTCCTAGCATAAGTGTTAAAAAGTTAGATTCCTTTTGGTAATTACTTGTTGGATTATTACTGCAGAGTTAGAAAATTGACACCTGTTTATTTATTTATTTTTATAAATATATCTAATGGGACATTTATCAATCCTCTAAACTTGCTTATGAATTCTTACCTAAAATATCGATGTGGAAAGTGGGACTAGATTTCTCATAAAATTGATATTCTTCCATAAATGAGATTAGAGTGATGATAAATGTCCCGTTAGGTACATCTATGAAATCCACAAGCAAAAGCTAGGTTAGAGGATTTATTAATGTTCCATTTTGTATATTTATGAAAATTAATAAATTAATCCATTTTCAAATAAACACGTGTCAACTTTCTACCTCCACAGCCGTTTATAGAATAATAATCCAAGTATATATATTCTGAAAGATTAAGGTTGTCTTCTTGAAATTATGGTGGGGAGGAAAGTTTCAAATTTTAGAGTATGTTTCTATCAAGGTAAAACCTTCAAGAAAGAGTGAACTAAAAGAATCTATCATTCTATTTTTTTATTACTGAGTAATTTGTCTTATACAAATATAAACGTTTCTTGTAATAGGTTGAGATTGCAAGGGCATATGAGAAGGGTGGAGCTGCTTGTCTTAGTGTTTTGACCGATGAAAAGTATTTTAAGGTAAACATAGTCATTTTTGTTTTTTGCTTTTGAAGATTTTGTGTTCAATTGCTTGGTCTGTATATTAATCCTTTGCTTGCTGTTTATCCTCCTCTTCAATCAAGGGAAGCTTTGAAAATTTGGAGGCAATAAGAAATGCTGGAGTAAAGGTCAGCTGTATAAGTCATTTGTTAGTCAACTCTGTAATCTTGATATATACACTTGGTAAATGGGTATAAATCTTACCCTTATAATGAATGCAGTGTCCTCTACTGTGCAAAGAATTTGTGATAGATGCATGGCAGATCTATTATGCTCGAATCAAAGGAGCAGATGCAATACTTTTAATTGCTGCTGTTTTGCCTGATCTTGACATCAGATACATGATTAAAATCTGCAAGATGCTTGGTTTGGCAGCTCTTGTAGAGGTTAGACAGAGCTTTTTTTGGTTATCATATTTGTTCCATTACTTTTGAAATGTTGAGGTGATTTTTGGGTTCTTGAAACTTATTTCACTTGGGAGTAGAATTTCGATAATTGTTGAGCTTCTTGAGACCATTTTTGTGTTTCAATTGGCAAAGCATATTTGAGTCTCATATGAGTTACATAATTGAAACCATGGTTTCATTACAAGCTTCTTACGTTTGATATTATTAAAATTTCATATATGGCTATTTCTTTCCAATATTAATATGCTTTATGGTTGCTTCTGTTGTTTTTCTTTTAGGTGCATGATGAGAGGGAAATGGATCGTGTTCTTGGTATAGAGGGTATTGAACTTATTGGTATCAATAATCGTAACCTTGGTAAGGTTTTTCAAGTTTTTGCTGTTGCTAATTGAGTTGCCTCATGAAACTTCTGATCCTTGTTGTTCGAACTTGTTTTTTGATGTTGTCAAGTTCTATGACCTGTTTGACAATGTGTACAAGTGTGTTAATTTTTCTGCTCTACCCCCTAAGAACCTTGTTCTAGATCATGTGATCCCAATAACAGGTATTCACAATCAATATTTTGAAAACTGGCTTACCAGAGACAATGCTGCAAAGCACTTGGATGTGAAGCAGAAGGAAGGCGGAAGTTCAAAATCTAAAATCTAAGATTAATTCACCCCTCTATAGTACTATATTCAAAACCAAAATGTGGAATATGTTGAAGAGAGAGTTGCAAGTTGCTTGATTGTTGCAGCCACCAACTAAAAGGCCAAAATGAATTTTAATAAAAATTATAGCTAACATCTTTGAAATTTTTAAATTTGAAGATAGAATTTTATCTGACTTCTGATATTTCAAAAACAAGGGTATGATAACAAAACCTAAATATGGTTTTAGGAAGTGAATGACATTAACTTTTTGAACGATTCTTATTTTAGAACAATAGTATGATAATATAACCTACATGTGGTTGTAGGAAGCAGATGACATTATTTTTTGATAGGTTTAGTTTTATGAGAAATTATTTTATCCATTGTCAGTATAGCTTTTAGACTTCACAAATGAGGTCAGTATGATGACATATACTTCTTAGGGTATAATTAAAAAAAGTCAGTAGGATGACAAATACTTCTTAGGGTATAATTAAAAAAAGAAATGAGACATATGTCAATATCATAACCTCACTTGTGAAGTTAAAATTTACACAGATAGTATATCAAATATTAACTTTTAGTTTTATAATGTATATAAAATATTATATCTTGTAATAGAAAAATTGGTCCTCCGTAGCTTATATTTGGGTGATATAAACATTCTTGATTGGTATTAGCCTTTTAGTTGTCGGCTTTCCTCCAACATACTTGCCATTAAATAAGTGTTAGGATTATTTTTTTCTCATTTATATCAATTTCCGAAATATCTCGTGTACCTATGACTATAATGTTCTCTATCAAAGTGTCATATTGTTCCCCATGCCAATAGTAATAGTACTGACCAGTATATCACAACTTGACCGTATAGACTGCAATCAATATGTATGAGGCATCAATAATTCCTCCCTTTTCTTGTGTTCAGAAACATTTGAGGTAGATATCAGTAACACAAAGAAGCTTCTTGAAGGAGAGCGTGGCCAAATGATCCGTCAGAAAGATATAATTGTAAGCGAGGCTTCTCCATATTTATTTCCCTATGCATTAAAAGATAAAGTTAGTGCATGTCCATGCAACTTGTATATATCATAAATTGTTTGAATGATCTATTGTTCACTTAAACACATCAGGTTGTAGGAGAATCAGGGCTATTTACTCCAGATGATGTTGCTTACGTGCAAGAAGCTGGTGTTAGAGCTGTAAGTCAGATATGTTCTGAGCATGTTGCATTAATTGTTTGGTATTTAAAAGGTTTTTCTCTCTATGCATGGTAGATACATATAGATAACATTGTTTGGTTACAGGTTTTGGTTGGGGAGTCGATAGTGAAGCAAAGCGACCCTGGAAAAGGAATAACTGGACTTTTTGGTAAAGACATTTCTTTGTGAGTTCATAATAGAAAGTTGGATAAAGTTGACTCTGGGATGCGTGCGTTCATGTTCATGTGTTGTTGTATCATGTACTTTCCGGTATCGTGCCCCTGGGATTATTGTTAGTATTTCCTTTTAACATCAGAATGAGTGTACTAGAATAAATGTTCCTTGTCTGAAAAATAAATGTTATTTTTAATTAAGATCAAATTATGTGATTAATCTTTGTATTCAGTCAAAATTTTAGATTTAGTTTTTTCAGTATAATTTTTTAAACTGAGACCTTTTATTACATGGATTTAATAATGTTATAGAAATATTATTTTATTCGCTGTTGGGACGTTTTAGATTTTACAAATGAAATTAAAAAAGTGACATTTTTGTCAATTTTTAAAGATATTTTAAAAAAATAAAAATAAAATATGTTAAAATTTTAATTTCGCATATAAAATTTAAAGTTCACAGTGACACTATTAATGCTAAGTCCAAGTTATAACTGTTACATATGTATTTGACTTTGACTGTGTTGATGCGCCGTTGGATTTTTAAGCGGCGTGGCATTTTTGTGTGCTGGGCTGGTAGTCCCCGTCCAATAAAATTCCACCGAAATCTATATTTTCTGCATTAATTACGGAAAAAAAAAAGCCTTAGAAAACACTAAACCAAAATATTTTCATAATAAAAAGCTAATGATGGCAGCCGAATCACGAGACGCTGAGTTTTAAGTCTGAGTTGGGATTTGATTAGATCTCCATGGAAATTTTGATACTCGAAGAAATCCTATGAGCAAGTAGTGTGGAATTCTAACACAGGGTCGGGAAAGACTGAAAAATCCTGCTCTAGAAATGCAGCAAACCCTGAGAAACCATTTTTGTAGTTGTGAACAAGGGTTTTTTTTCCCCGAAAACTTCAACTTGACATTAGATTATATATATTATCCCAACTGTAGTTTGGAGACCCAAAAATTAAAAGGCCATAAGGATGACAATCGATCTTTACATCAAGTTAAAATGGAAAGATTGATTATCATCCTTAATTGTTATATTTAATCAAACCTTTTGAATAATTTTTTATTTCAGATATAAGATTTTTGTATAACAATCTCTAATTAAAAAAATAATAATAATGAATAATTAAATCTTATGTTATTTTATATTTATGATAAACAATATTACAGTCGCTATAATATGTGGGAAAAGATAAAACTTACAGAAAATTTTTAAACAAAATCTTTAAAATTCTCTGATAAAATTTAAATATATATCAAAATTCTTACTCAGCTAATAATTCACTTGATGTTTATTTGTTGCGATTAAACCCTCGAAAGCTATTCTTTGTTAAGCCAAAAAAACACTTTTTTATAAAATACAAAGCAATTGTTGCGATGAAATCAACCCCTTAATGATGATGATGAAGGGCTTCATAATGCACATCGAAACATCTGTCGTTTCTTTACTTTTACATTGATCCGTGACTCAATAATATCGGCCATTCTTATGATATTCAGGATGTGGGAAATGAATGTTGCTTCTAAAAATCTCAAATTTTAGAAAATATGGTCTTTGCCCAAACATTGAGGCAGCATATATGTATGTTTGTTGGTTTAGTTAGAAATAGACTTGATAATTTCAAATATATGAAAATGATATGGAAAAAAAATTATATATATATTTTAAAAATACGACAACTTCCCCCACGACCACGACAATGTTTTCCTTGCCGAAAGCCTCAAGTCCGAGGATGAGCATTACGACTTCATAGGAAGGTTTCGTAAGGTCTCGGCCCAGCTCCAGGATCCTGACTGCTTTAAGGTCGTCAAAGGCATGAGCCTTTGTCCATCCGATTCTTTTGGCAACTACGACATTCGCTTTACGACGCCATTGTCGAAAATGGCCGTACAATTTTTTTCTTGGTCCTTTCCAAACTTCTCATGCTTTTACTTTAACATCCACAAAAATATTTTTCGTCGTACCCTTCCACTCTTTTTCATTCTTTCACTTTCAATCTAAATTCATTCCAAACTTAACCCTAAAACCATAAAACCAACTCTTAAATTAAAAGTTTTTAAAGTATTTCATTTATTGCTGGTAAAATTCGAGATTTTTATTCATTAATTTAGCTGAAATTGTGCGAAAATTAAAGTTTTTGCGAAACTTGTTTCGTCTAAATCGTGCGTTTTAGAAATAAATTTTCGAGGGTCTTAAACATTGAATGGAGTGTAAAGGTTTTTTAATGGAAATTGTATTTCTCAGAAATGAATTTACGAAAGCTTTAAAAAGCTTTCGGAAGCTCTTAAAAATGGAGTTTTCCTGAATCTTAAACGTTGGGGGTGTAAAAAGGATAAAATTATAATTTATTAAAGAATAAAATTGGTATTTTATATATGAGTATTTCTGGAATAAATATGTTGAGAGGTGTGAAGAGAAAATTGAGTGGTGTATTCACAACCATTCAATGGGTTTTCGTTGTCTAACACGTTTTATTTGTTCTAAGTTGTGTTTTCAAAGAAAGGCCTTGCCTTTTTTTGCCTCTTGATATTACTTCTTTATGATGAAAGAAACTATTAAAAGGCTATATTTTGTTGTTTTTTTTTTTTTACTTCAAATACGGTTATTTAATATTGAAAAATTAAAATCATGCATTTTATTTTTGATAAGGATTAATATTTCATACACTGACAGTGTATCATTTTTATACATTGTCAGTGAATAATACAAGTATATCTCATTAATGAATAAAATTTAAAATTTTAAGTCCTTAAAAATAAATATTAATAAATTTATTTAAGGTTAATTAATTAAAATTAAAACTTTTCTTTTCTTTGTCACCTCCCTCTGTATTTACCGCTTCTTTTTTTTTATTTTCTAATTTTTTTTACTTGATTTTAATTTTCTTACCTTTGTCTCACCAGATTTTATTTTGTCATTTTTAGATTTGTAAAAAGATCAATGACATATTTCATATCTTATGAGTATCTAAGATATTTTAACAATAAACATATTTAATATACTTTTCAAGATTTCTGCATATCTATGAGCTTTTGCTTCTTTAAGCATTTTCGTCTTCTTGATGCAATAAATTCAACTAGTTTGCCTTAAAAAACGGCAGACATAGCAGTCCAATATTTAGATTCTTCTTGATCTGTCAAATCAATCACTTGGATGAAGGTTGACAAAAGACATTCAAATTGGTCTTGCTACAAGGAAATAATTTAATGAGGTAAATAAATCTGTCCATCGACTATAATGATCAGTTAAAAGTTGAATATCTAAGATAAGAGATGAAAGATGCAAAAGCTCACAGATATGTAAAAGTCCTGAAAAGATTATTAAATATATTTATTATTAAAATATTTTAGATACTCAGAAGATATAAAATGTGTCATTGATCTTTTTACAAATCTAAAAATAACAAAACAAAATTTGATAATACTAAGATAAAAGAATTAAAATCAAGTAAAAAGAATTAAAAAATTAAAGGAAAGAGACAATAAATATAGAGGGAGGTGATAAAAAAGTGAAAAATTTTAATTTTAATTAATTAATCCTAAATAAATTTATTAATATTTATTTTTAAGAGCTTGAAATTTTAAATTTTATTCGTTAAAGAGATATAGTTGGAAATACTGTTGGTTTTGTATGCGCATTTGGCAGACACCCTTTTTCATTGTGTTGAAGAGAAGGTCCGTGCTCATGTACCTTATTTTATGTAAAGATCTATGTTGTGTTCTTATTTCTATTGAGAAAGTGAGCTATCTTTTCAGGTGCTGCATAAGAAGCATTCTATTGTAAATGGACAAGAAGACTGTGAGTGCACCTTCCTGCTCTTTTTGCTACATTGGTCCTAATGTTGGGAGCATAACAGACAAGGGGGTTGTAAATATATGCCTTCTCCAGGTTTCCGAGTTACAACCAAAATTTTCATATTTCATGAAGATAGCAATGCGGAAAATAGAGAAAGCCTTGTGTAAATCTACTTCTGGCACTAGTAATAATCTTGCTTGCAACCTTGTTACTCAACATAAAGAAAACAATGGTAGCTCAATTGTGAAGCAGAAGCCAAGTTTTGCGGGGCGTTTGCGACAGGTAACTTCTTTTGTCTAAGCATATAGCAGTAGAGAGATAACTGATGCTATGTTCTACCTATTTGTAGGGAGAGCGTGCTCGGCGGTCTTTGAGTAAAGTGTGGCCATCTGAAGGTTTGTCCTTGTTTAATGTTGCAATAAATATTCTTTGTTGTAATTGTGTGTTTTGCTTGTGAGTGTTACAGGAGAGAGAGAAGTTCATCGTGAAAGTAGTCATGATACTGAGGGGATAAAAATCTTTACTCAGAATCTTATGATTTTAATATTTTAAAAATAGATTTTTTAGATAAAAAATAATATTTTTATTATGATTTATGAGTAAAATAATATTTTTGATAAAAATATTTTTTATTTTTAAAATGATATTGAATTTAAAAAAAAGAATTTAAAAATTTTAATTTAATTATAAATTATAAATTATTATTTTAAAATTTAAAATTTTAATTTTTTATTGAAACAAAAAATCTAACTAATGAATTATATTGTAACAAAATTATAAAAATATGATTTTAAATTTAATATTTTATAAATATAAATGAGATATATTAAATTTTGAGATAATTTCATCTTTAGTTCTTAAATTGTAAAAAAATTTATTTTGATTTTTTTTTATCAAATGAGATGTTAGTTAACAATCATCATGTGAGATATGGCATTAGTTGGTATTCCCAACAATTTAAATAGTTTTATAAACTAAAAGATTAAAATATGATAGTTTTAAATAATTAAAGATTCAAATAAAATTTTTTAAATATTAAAAATTAAATTAAAATTTAAAAATTACGAATGTAATTGACAAAAAATTATAAAACCGTTATATGAATTTATAGATAAAGATCAAATTTATTATTCAAGTTAAAATGATGGATCAATTTATTAATTATCTTTGAATGGTGTAATACTGTAATTTACATTGTACTTTTAAATTTGATTCAAATTGTAAAAGATTATTTTTACATAATATTAAAAAATATGGTGCTAAAAAACAGTGTTTAAAAATAAATAATATAGAATGATAACATTGACTGTTTTCAATGAGTTTGGCAAAGATTTTTTTTGTGGATTATCTTTTTGAATGAATTGGCATAAAAATTATGAGTTTGAAAGAATTTAAATAAATAATATTTTTTTAATTGGATATGTAATTAGGTAAGAAAATTTAAAGATAAATTAAGAATTTTAAAAAATAATAATAATATAATAAGGATTTCTTTTTTCAAAATTTAATGAAAAAGTCTTTGGTTCAATGAAAAATGATAAAAAAAAAAAAAGTTGACCCAAGCTCATATTAATAAGTCGTGAATACGTTCTATTGGCTTTGGTGCTGTCTGGTCCAATCAAATCTCGACACGCAAGCCTTAGAAATGAGACAACGGAGCTTAAAAATGACATCGGCTAGAGTTAAGGAAAAAACCTCAGCCAACGAGAAGTTAGATAAAGTCGGTCAAACTCAACAGTTTGAGTTTTCTTAAAAAAACACCGTTGTTGAGAGTTCTGTTCTTCCGGTTTCTAAAACAGGAATCAAAAAAGAAAAAGCGAAAAACTCTTTGATTTGGCTAATTTTATTTCTTTTATTTCTTTTGTTCAAAATAGTTAAACCCATATCAGATTTTTGACAGAAAAGAACTCCTAGGTAGTGTTAATATTATTACAATTTTCTTAATCTTATATCTTGATCTGGCCTTGTTTAAAACAACCAGCGATCTAAATTGTGGGTTCTGTCTTGTTTCTTAGAGATGGCGGGAAACGGGTGGAACAGAAGCGTTGAGATTGCGTGGATTGCGGTGGGTTTGTTTCTATGGAGTTTGAAAGAAGCAGAAGGGGTGAGATTTGTGATAGACAGAGAAGAATGCTTATCTCATGACGTCAAGTTCGAAGGTGACACTGTTCATGTCTCTTTCGTCGTGATTAAGGCTGATTCCCCTTGGCATTTTAGCGACGAAGGCGTCGATCTTGTGGTAATGTTTCTTCTTTCCTTTTGCCTTTTCAAATTCTGGGGTTTTCTCTTTTTGAAACTACGTAGTTTGGCTTCGTGCATCGGATAGATTGGTTTTATTGTTTGTTGTTCAATGTTCATTGTATTGAAATATCCAATTCACACAAGAGTTGTGTGAATGTGGATATTATCATTTACATCTATGTCTTTTTTTTACTTGAATATATGCTAGAGGATGTTTTGTAATTGATTATTATCCTATACATCGGCATGGAGTTTTTCCAGCGCCATAAGAAGGTTTAAATGGTTGATACTTGTCCATTTAGGTATTTTTATTAAATTCACATGCCATCTGAGCTATTGTATAAACCTGTTTGTGAAGTTAAAAAACTCGACATATAGTGGTAATTCTAGGCAACTTTGTTTTACTGATAATGGGTTTAAATAAGAACAATAGGAAGTAAATGGTTTTGCTCCAATTTGCTTGTAAATGTCATGAAAATGGGTAAAGTATGGAAAGTAAGTGAAGCTCTCTAGGTAGTGACGATGTGTATTAGTGTGTATATAAGGAGATGCATTAGTTAGTTTTTTCATTGTTTTGGGTTTTACTTCAAAGAGCCATTAATATAGCCAACACAGTTCTAATAGCATTTTTTTTTTCTTTTGCTGCCTCTACTTAGTTTACTATGGCTACAATCGTCTCAAGATATTTTAGATTGATTTTTTCTTTTTTTTAGAATAAAAGCAATTTTTCAAGAGAAACATCGAATAGTGACCCATGTGCAAGTGTTAAAGGGCTCCATTAACTATCTCAGGTAGAGTTTTCAATATTGGGTGGGCTAACACTCCAAATCTGTGAGGAATGTTAAACTAATGAATGTAAGATCTTTGTTAAGGTTACTGCATAAAGATATTTCTTCATTCAATGCTTTGGAAATCATCATATTAACCAGTGTTGTTAAGGCGCTCATTAGCATTTTTAATGAACGTATAGAGGTTTTAAAAATGCTAAGCTAATGCTTGTATTGGTTCTTTTTCCTTGCTCTTTACTTCATTCCTAATTATTAACTATTCTTTGTCAACTACGCTGAGATTATCAGATAAAGGGACCTTCCGGAGATCAGGTTCATGATTTTCGTGACAAGATAAGTGAAAAATACGAGTTTGTTGTCCACAAGAAAGGGATTTACCGTTTCTGCTTCTATAACAAATCTCCTTATCATGAAACCATCGACTTTGATGTACAAATCGGGCATTTTGCATATAACGACCAGCATGCAAAAGATGGTGAGTTAAATGTTCCACCGCTTCCTTTTGTTCCCTTTTAACCCCTTTAAAAGGGGTAAGATGATTATTTCCTTTCAATGGTCTGCAGAACATTTTACTCCATTGATGGAGCAGATATCAAAGTTGGAGGAAGCTCTTTATAACATCCAATTCGAACAGCATTGGATAGAGGCTCAGACTGACAGACAAGCAATAGGTAGCTTTGAAGATTCTCTCTATTTCACATCTTTTGAACTTTTTGCCCTAGTGAATCCCTCAAAGTCTTAATCTAACAGTAGGAAGGAAAGAAAAAGTTTTAATCTAATGGGTGAGCGACATAACAACATGTGCTAATTTGTAGCTCAACCAGTAGATTAAAATTTTTTGCTTCTTTTTCCCTTTCTTTCCTTCTTATCAAATGGGGCCTGAATATTTTATCTCGAAAAGTGGTAATGGACCTAATGGTTATGCCATGTTATCAATCTATGGCCGAATCTCTAGCGAATGTATCCCTGGCAATTTTTAAGATACTTGGATCCATTTCACTTCCTTGTCTGTCAAAAATGTCATCCTGTAGGAAATGGATCTTAGTTATGCTCATATGCTGCCATGAATACCAGACTTATTTTAGTTTGACAATTATGATATAAAACTTGCATGGCCATTCTATTTGCTCTTCTTTTTCCCTGGTCATATATTTATTTTTTATCCTGTCCCTGGGAAAAGCCGAGAAAATAAACATTCACTATAATTTTTCTTCAGTGAATGATAGCATGGGCCGTCGAGCAATTCACAAAGCAATGTTTGAATCAGCTGCACTTATTGGGGCGAGCATCCTTCAAGTTTACCTTATGAAACGCTTATTTGAACGAAAACTTGGAACATCCAGAGTCTAAACCTCTTACACCTATTAACTGCCATGGGTGTTTGTTGATTTTGGCATGGCAAGCTCGAAGTTTGTGGTTTCTGGGTTTAACTAGCAGTTGTTTATACCTAATTTTACTTCGACTATGGCGTTGCCATTTCCACCTGAGTTATGACAATGTCTAGAAATGGTTTTACAGAGAGCAATTCAAGGATGTTCCGGCATTAGAGAGATGTCGATTTCTTTTCTGCCTCACTGGATAAGTGAAATTTGTTTTTGAATGATGGCTTCTTTTTTTTTTTTTTTTCCCTTTTTCTGCTAAATTATTGTATTCATTTTTAGTTCTTAACGTCAGTAGTTCCCATTGAGTTTTCAGCATAGTTATGTTCGTTCTTTCATATAATTTGTTCTTCATCTTTCTCTAAGAAATATAAAAACCAGAATGGCTGTAACTGCTAAATTGAATGAAATAGTGCCTCACTGTATCTAGCTTGAGCCAATCAGTAACATTGTTGAATCAAAACTGGTTTAAGCACCCTGATTACCCCGCCATGGTGCTAGGCAGCTTTACCTTTATACTAAATTTGCAACAAAGTCAAATCTGAAACTTAATTCAACTAGTCGATATAGCCACTTTTCAAAAATACATTTAACAAATAATTTAAATTTTAATATCTATAATTTTTTCTATTATTTTTAAGTTGCAGATCTCTTTTGTTTGAAAAAAAAAAAAAGGAATTTGCAACAAATTTTGTCCTAAGATTCGTAGTGTCTTGAATCTCTTTAATGCATGATCTTACTGGCATCTGTCTGAGATGCGTGAAATATGCTGCAGCAAAAATTGCATTGGTATAGCTCCATGCCAATTTAGCAGCTAGAATAGAAGTATTTGGAGTCCAATTCTTTCAGGAGAAATAAAATTTTTTGAGAAGTTTTTAACTGGTCTTACGAGCTAAGATGGGACACAACAAGAGAAATGGGTGAGCTTCATTAAGCATAAATATGAAGTTACACACAAGAAAATCATATCAACTCAAAAACAATACAGAGATGTAATGGCACACACAATAGCGTCAACCCCTAACATACCTAAATAAAGTAGGGAGCAAAAAATGAAGTAACAAGCCATCAGAGCACATAATATAAAACAACATTGTTCTCTCATTACAAGCCCAGATCATCATCAAAGCTCACAGTGGCAAACAAAAAAGATTCCAGCAGGACCTATCATAGCTTCTGAAACAGCTCCAGTCTTCTGGATCATTCGTAAGGGCTTGCTGTAGATAAATCTTTTGGAAGCTCTTAATGCTGTAAGAGCCACCTCATTAATCTACCTGAGCAGCTTGTATGCAGCAAAACCATTTTTTCTGCTGTATTTCAGACCATCAAAACAATAAAAATTAATATTGTGAATCCACAAATATCATTAACCAGTAGCAGCCTCACTGAAAGATACAAAAATCAAACAGTGCATATGCATATTTGCCCTTGCTTAAAGGGTCCCAGCAATTGACAACAAGAACTTGCCAAAACAATACATTGCACTAACACGCGAGATATTTTTAATCAGCCTCAGAAAACGTCAAAGAACAATCAATAGTACGTTAGTTGTCAAAGTGTCAACTTTCTTTTCTGTTCTTTTCACTAAATGAAAATGTAGATGAATATAAAAAAAAAAAAAAAGAAAAAAAGAAAACAGGAATGTCACATGATGGCATTTGTACGAATCAGGAAGTGACAGTCAACCAAAAATGGCGGTACGAACAAATGAATGCACCATTGAAGGAGATGTTCGCTTTTCATCCTTCTATTTCCGTTTTATTACAGTGTTTGACATATCCCAGAACAGACAAGAACAAGTAAGCAGATCCAAGTTTAAGAGCAACTAATCTACTTAAGTGCTAAATGATAGGAGCAGTACCAATCCACTCCAAGTAGGACAGTAGGACCCTTTCATCTTTGATGAATGGGAAAGGAAGTCTCTAATGGGGGCATGACCAATGAACAAGGTCAGTAGAAAAGAAAAAATTCAAGGCACAGAAACAATTAATACCAGAAGAAAAGAAATCAAGAAAAGTCATAAGCAACCTTTAGAAGACATTTATGAGTAAGAAAAGTGATGCTTCAAGACAATAAATTTTAATTGTGTTCTAGGAGTGAACAAAGTGCTCCCCACAAAAAAAAAAAAAAAAAAACTAGAGGAATTTCCCTGTAAATGAAATAAAAATAAGGCATAAGCAGGATTACTACTTAGTACTTACAGATTGAGGCTTTCCAAGAACATCCCCTTGCTTATATGTGGCGTCATTTCTCCCAGGTGACTCAACCTTCCCACCTGTCTTTTTCTCATTTCTAGCCTTGTTGAAGATAACTGTAAATCCCTCAGCTGATGAAGGGTCATTGACATCCCATTCACCAAACTTTGGCAATGGTCGACCCTTATCCTGTATGCCATAACAGCTCATTTAAGGGATCCATCATCCCAAACAAACTTGTCACAAATTGATACATTCATTATAATTATTCAACCTTCTTAAATGCTAGAACCCCAGATCATGATGTTTGTCCATTCAAGAAAGGAAATATGATAAAATATGGCTGGTTCATGAAGATGAACTTGACATGTAATAAAATAGACAGAAAATTTCACATAACTAAACTATTACTTCTAAGCATTGAGGGAATTTAAAAAAAATGTAGAAACCATACAACTTAAAACAAGGCTGGGATAAAATTGAAAGCATAGACACTGCATGAACATACCACTTATTCCTACGCTAAAATCAGCATTGCAGAAATGACACTCGGACAAACAGACATCATATCCTTCATTTTTTATTTGGTATACTTTAATCTTTTCCGCATGCAGTTATTCTCTATAATCCACGGAGATAACTATTCTTTGTACTCCTAATACAGGCATACAGGACATTCATAAATTTTCACTTTTAAATAAAGATATCAAAGAAAGATCAAAGAATAAAATTCGATAACATGATCAATCAAATTCCTTTGAGATTTGAGAATTAAAAAAAGAAATTAAAAACAAAAAGGTAAAATAAATATCAAAACATAAAAGGAAACGGTAAAAAACATTTAAATATAAAAAATTATAGATAAAATTGAAGCGTAATCCATAAAAATAAAAGCTGAGAAAGAAAATAATAATCTTTTTGAATTATCGAAACCTAAAATCGCATTCACATGCATCTCAAAAAGGGAAATAAAACAAATTCATTTAAAAAATGAATGAAGAAATCGAAATGAATAACAAGAAAGCGGATGCAACGAGAGAAGATAATAAAGGCAAAAATTATTTAAAAGGAAAAGAAAAGATAGGGAGTTTGCAAATAAATAAATAAATAATATAGGAAACAGGAGAAAAAGGAAAGAGGGAGGTTACCGCCATGATTTTGGTAGGGATGAGATTGCAATGCAGAGAGTCACTGTGGTATTTGTGCCCTCTCCTCTCCTTTCTTTTTCTTTTTTTTTTAAATGATGATGCTTTTGATTATTTTTGGTTTTCGGACAAAGCAGAGGGACAGAGAGAGAAGAGGAAGGTGGGCCAAATGGGCCGCAATTGGTGGTTGGGGACCCACCTCTTCTTTGTTTTTTTTGCTTTTTTTAAAATTATTGATTATTTTGCAGCTGCGCAATTACAAATATCCATATCTCATACAATCCTTTTATTATAATATTAATATAAGGTCTACGTATTCTTTTATCTAACCCCACAAATCATGATCGGTTGCTTTTCCCAATTTTATTCTCTTTCTACAAGCCATCGCCAATTTGCCATCGCCCATTGCATAAGTGACAAGGGAGAGATCGTCTGCATAACATTCCATGATAGCCTTGAATAACACGCAAAAATATGATTATTTTAGAATCGAATTTTCTATCTTCAATAAAATATTAATTATATAAATCTAAAATAAAAATAAAAATATATATTATACTTATTAATAGGATTAAGTTATTATATAACATAAATAAAAATAAGTTTGTTATAAACTCTCAACGTACACATTAATAGAATATATTTTTAAATAATTTTTTTGTATTTTTCATGTTAATTTATTGTTATTAACTAAAATTCTAAGAGTTTTATGTTATTTAAGTTTAAACAATTTAAAGAATATACGTATAAATTTTTTATGTTAAAAATCATTAAAATTGTGTAATTAGATCTCACCTAATTTTAATTAAATTTGATGAAATTCATTATGAACATATCAAAATATATTGTATATATCGTAAGATATGCAATGATTAGTTTATATATTGACAAATACGCCATCCATTTGTGATAAAATTAATTCCTCATATAAATACATATTGATTTTATAATAAATTAGATAATACTTATAATATGTATAAGTAATATTTAGTACATAAAATAATGTATAAGATAAATAATAATCATTTTACATTACATTTAATTTATATCTAAAAAATAAAATTACAAAAAATTTAATTTAGTATTTTTGGCTTATTTCATCTCATTCTTCACTTTTTAAGGTATATTTAGTATCTTTGGTCTTCTTCCATCTCGTTCTTCACCTTTTTATTTATAAAAACGATACCATGTACACAAGATGCTATAAGCAAATGAGAGCAATAATCCAAGAAGCGTTGATAATCCCTCTCTCAGCACCCATTTTAGGATGTGATATCCAGAATAGTATTTTTTAAATCAACCTTAATTCAACGTAACTGTTGTCAGCCATCGCCAGTTGAATTTTCTATTGGCATTTTCAAGCCGGGCTATTAGAGTAAACATCAATTGTCCGCCAACCATTCTGTAAATTTTGATAAGATTTTGGTTTAATAATGGGATGGGATCGTCATCACTTACCTATAACCATGAATTTTCAATTAAGAGCATCCAGTAATGTTGCAATTACAGCGGACATGGGTATAGACCAGCTAATAGGGTTGCGCATCATCGTCTATTCCTATCCCTATATCATTAACTCCAAATCAAACTTGTCCCCACGCCAACTCAACAACTTAACTTGGTGATAAAAGTGAACAACATTGGACATACATTTCTTCTTAATTAAGGATTACTATTAACTTATTTGAGAATAAACCAAAAATTGAGACAAAGAAAAAGGAGATAAAATTGCACTACAAGAAACCGTGTTTTGTCGCCATGGATTTTTCCACCACATGCACGATTATGGTCGCAACATCATATATCGAACCTGAAAAGAAAGAACTGACATTCACATCTTTTGACCAAGATAATTAATGCTTTGATTTGATTCGCAGAAGTTCAAAAATCCTATTACCCTTGTTAAAAGCAAACTCAGGTATCCATTTTCCTTGGATTGAAGGGAAGATCATTCATTTATGCAGGTTTTGCAGATTAGGAATTTCTATTTACTATTCATTTACAGTTTTGTAATTTTACTATGTACATAGCCTAAATTAAGCTAGGTGAGCAAAATATTATGCATTGATAACTACTTTGATATGATGCATGAGACTTACCCAAACATAAAAAAACGTTTACAGAAGCTCCACAACAAGTGCAGATGCACCTCCACCTCCGTTGCAAACACCACCAACTCCGTATTTCCCATTTCTCTGCTTCAATACCCCCAAAAGTGTGACCAAGATACGAGCTCCACTGCAACCCAAAGGATGTCCCAAGGATACAGCTCCACCATTCACATTAACCTTCTCCTATAACCGTTTAAAGAGGAAGAAAACTTGAGATTAGGAAGAATGAATTATGTGACTTTCTTGCTGGCAAAAGCTGACTAGGGAAAGGGAAAAACAGAACTATTTCACAAGATGGCATACATATGTATCTCACTTTTAGCAATTCATGCTATCAATTCACATGTTCAACCTTGAAAATACATATGCAGAAGCTTTTGAGAGAGAGAGAACTCACTGGATTAAGGTCAAGCAGTTTCTGGTTTGCAAGAGCCACAACCTGCGGAGAATGGTGCATTATTTCAAAACTACCAGCTTCATCTATAAGAAAATAATACATTTACAAAAAGTACAGGAATCTTACAGCAAAGGCTTCATTGATTTCATAGTAATCAATTTGAGAAGCATCCAAGCCAGCATTTGAAATGGCTTTGGGTATTGCAAGGGCTGGAGCTGTTGTGAAAAACTCTGGTGCCTGGAATCAATCTCATGTAAGTATCAACTTGTATGACACTTAATGTCAAAAGTAAAGTTAGAGATTTCTGATTTGGCAGTTTCTCTAACACATATCTTCAAATTTAAACATAGTTGTGCAAAGTACCTGAGCAGCATCTGCATATCCTGTAATCTTTGCGATCACCTGTAGTCCTAGCTTAAGTGCCTTTTCTCCACTCACTAGGATTAAAGCAGCAGCACCATCACTGTCAATAAGACCAACTTCTCTTTAATAACAAACTCCAGATCATGTCCTTGAAAGACTTAAGAGGTCAAACTGAAAATCATTCCTTGATTTTGAACTGAACAGCCAACTGTATGATTGCACAACCCTCAACAAGAGGCCTATAATAATGATTCATCGAAGTAAAAAATAAGCTACGAATATAGGATGACCAAATTGTTTATTGGAGAGCTCTATCAGGAGGTGGCCTTAAACTTAAGCATTCCTAATCTAATTATGGTTTGCCATAAACGAAATTCTGCCCAAAATATACAAGTGAATAAAGATGTTAACTAATTGACCTTATACTGGATGCATTGCCAGCAGTAACAGTGCCTCCATTATCCTTGAAACTTGGTCGCAGCTTCCTCAATTTTGCAGCATCAAACTGAAATGAAAGCAATATTTGAATTTACCCATTACTCAAGTGATCTAATATCTATGTAATTTATTTAGGCAATTTAAAGAGATGTTAAGAAAGAAGAAAGAAAAAGGAAGCAGCAAAGTGCAAAAAAGTGATAAACGGGTCTAAATTATGTTTACCTTTCCTAAACCTTCATCCTTGTCAACTATGGTGGATGGCTTTCCCCTTCCCCCAGGAACTTCAACCTGTGCAGTACCAAATTTAGTTATACATGATAGTATATACGTAACAATGCTCAAAATTACTATTAAGATTATATCTAACCGGCACAATTTCCCATGCAAAGGCTTCACCCTGCTGAGCAGCAATACCACGCTCAAAGCTCTGAATAGCGAAGTTATCCTGCAGAAACCATGAAGATATAAGTCCAAATTCCTAGCCAGGAAAAGAAAGTCCATTTCATCAAGTAACTCTTGCAGAGAACATAGTACCTGGTCCTCCCTCGAAATAACATGTTTCTCAGCACATAATTCAGCACAGCTGCCCATGCCACAATCATTATAAACATCCCATAGTCCATCTTTCATCATTCCGTCGACAAGAGTATCATGCCCAAGCCGAGATCCTTTCCTGCATGTCAATACTGAATCAGAAACACAACTTGAATACAACAACAACGGAACCATGAGTGGGAGAGAGTTGCTAACCTTGCTTCTGCCAAATATTTAGGTGCATTAGACATGTTCTCCATGCCACCAGCTACAACAACGTCATTGATGCCCAACTGAATGCTCTGTGCGGCAAGCATTGTTGCTGCAATAGCCCAAACCAAAAAGAAAAGAAAAGAAGAATTCATTTAAAAAAATACTCCATTTAAGGTTTTTAAAACAATAACTCTTAAAACTGTAAAGTGCACACCTTTCATCCCAGATGCACAAACTTTGTTCACAGTGGTGCAGACAACTGAGTTAGGAATTCCTGCACCTAGTGCAGCCTGTCTAGCTGGAGCCTGCCCCAGATTTGCACTGAGTACATTGCCAAAGAAAACTTCTTGCACAAGGGATGGATCAACATTCGCCCTTTTAAGAGCAGCTGCAAGTTGACATATATAGCAATTAAGAAAAATGGAAGAGCATCCTAAATATATAAAAGTTAATCCAATTATCAAACAAGTGAACCAAGGTTTTTCCAATCAAACCTTCTATAGCTATTGATCCAAGCTTGGTAGCAGATAAAGATGACAGTAAGCCGAGAAATCCACCCATGGGAGTGCGTGCAACACCAACAACACAAACATCTGTACAAAATATACAAAAAACATTGAACAAACCATCAGCAAGACAAAATTTGAAGTTTTAGTTGTCTTGAGGAAAGTGAAACAACCAATCTATTGTCCTGAAATGATGTCAATTTTTTTATATGCTAAAGCATTTATAGTAAAGGATTATCATCTATGCAAGTCGACAAGCAGGTTTATACACTTGGCACGCATCTTTCTACGTATAAATAAGGAAATCATTATTCAATTAGTACGATAACATATTTAGTTAAGTTGATGAATATCAAATGTATAAATCCGCTAGTGTAGTTTTTAAACCAGACTTCCAACATATAAAGCAACAATCAAATAATAAAAGTTATCAACTATGCAAAATGTTTCTAGATGCATCAAAACGTTATTAATTAAAAAAAAAAAAAAACCTCTAGGCTTAATTGAATCTGAAGCTGTTGCTGCTGTTGGAGCCATAGATGAATCTAAAATGGATCTGCAGCGAGTACAAATTAAGTTAAGCTATTGCTTAATAAAAACATAATACTCATAATTATAGTTAAAAGGGTATTCATAATCGCTAAGAATCAAAACACAAGCTTTTGGTTGTTATCTTTAGACAAAATTTGCATTAAAATGAAAGCAAAAACAAAACCCTCACATATTTTTTACCAACCCAAAAAGTTGATCTCAAAGAACATGTATTTTACTAAAAATTCACACCTCAAGAAATCGGTACCAAAACAAATATTTGATAAAAGCATGCTAATAAAAAAATGTAAATTAATAAATAAATATATTTATATATTTCTTACTATGATACATACTCTTCAATTAACAAAATACATAAATATTTCGCTTCTTAGAAACGTTGAATTTCAAAGAAAATATATAAAAAAACCCCCTGTACTACTTGACTGGAAAAACTTACAAACAAAAGGAAAAAAACGCTGCATAAACAAGAAAATTAAAAGATAGAACTAGATCTAATTTGAGCAAGAAATTTAATTAGAAATACAAAATACCAAATTCACGAGTAAGAAAAAAAACCAGCAGAATCAAAGGAACGAAAAGTTTCGCATGGAGTAAGAAAATAAGAGGAAAAAAGGGGGAAGAATGTAGGAGAAAGTATTAAAGTGCGTAAAAATACCTGTGGAGATTTTCGTCAAAAGATTAAGCAGAAATTAGAGAAATGATGAAGTGAAAAATTTTCGAGGTAATGAATTTATAGAAGGTACAAGCAAAACCGCCAAGCACGTGCCTCACGAAGAATGTTTATTTACGAATCAACCTATTAGGAATAATTTATTGACTGTTATGTCCCCCTTCTAATTGCTACGTTCCTCACGAAGAATGTTTATTTACGAATCAACCTAAAATGATTTATTGACTCTTGTGTCCCTATTATAGTTCAGATGAAAAATTTTGTTAATTTAATAATTAAAATTTATAATCATCAAATTTTTAAAAAAATTTCCATCGTTAATCATTTTTTTTTTCATATCATGCTAAAAAATTAATATTTTATTAACAAGTTATTCAATTATTGACTTTTTTTTAAGCTAAACGAGATTCATGACTTAGTATTAGTGTTTATTTTTAAATACAAATTAAATTGTTGCATTCGTCAAACTTATTCTTGTAATTTAATGCAATGTATCGGTGAGAATAAGATTAAATAAAATGACTTTAATAAGATATTACTTGCCTTTTTTTTTTTTCAATTTTCAAATTGTTAAGTAGTTTTTTAAATCAGAAAAAATTATTATTTTTATTTGAGGTTGTTAAAATTTTAATTTTAATTACAAAAATTAAGAAAAAAATTTATTATTTTTGTAAATTTTTCTTTTTATTTTATAAATGACAATCCTTAGTTTGAATGTTTAGATTTATAAGTTTAATAAGATTCTATGTTTTTTTTAATTGATTTATAAGATTATATAGAGTGTATGCAACATTGCTCTCTCACGGGCACGTTTTAGCCAGAAATGAAAGAGACAGAAAGTTTGATTATTTGTGTGGTAGGTGAAGTCAATGGGCAAAATTGTAAAATACCAATAAGTTCACTTTCAACTCCCTCAAAACACTGTACATGAAAATATCGTGAAAATGATATTAATAAAAAATATAAAAATAATTTAATTTATAATTTTAATAAAAATTATATATAAATTTAATAAAATTAAAAAATATATTATATATTTTTATATTAATATAAATTACTATATATAATTTTTATATAAATATATAAATTATTACTTTTTTTCATCTCGTATTATTTGTTATGTATTAATTTTTACAAAATTTAAAAAAAATTTAATTTTAATGTATGTAATAATACAATTAAATTTTTTTATAAATTAAAATTTCATGATTTTTAATATAAAAAATATATAATATATAATATAATTTTAAAATATAAAAATTTTAAATGTTAAAAAATATATATAACATAAAGATATTCAAAATAAAATAAAATATTTTACATAAATAAATAAATTATCAAATTTAATTTTGGTTATTCGTCAATTCGGGGCTGCGCCAAGATTATTATGGCGATTGGGCCAGTGGCCGCCAGTGGGGAGCATCATCAATCAACCTTCAAACACGTAGGAGAGATTCTTTCGCATGTTTTCAAATGGCTGAGGCGATATTAACGATGTTTAATATGACAACCAACTATCCATATAGAATAGATTCAATATTCGGCATCTATTATTATGAAACATTTCATCTATAAATTTTTTATTATAATTTTATAATTATTCAATTATTTTTAAAAACTATATAAAATTTTATCATTTATAAATGTAAATGTCTTGTAAAATTTTGATAAATTTTATATAATTTTAAATTATAATAAATTAATTATAATATAATAATATGAGTAATATATTTTTTATTATCAAGGAAATTACCGTCAGGATTTAATGAATATAATTTTAGTACCTTTTTTATATATTAAAATTTTAAAAATATGTATCAATTTTTAAAGAATTAATTTAGATGAATGATGAGATTGAATTTGATAAAATTTAAAAAATAATAATAATAATTATAATTATAATTAAAAAATATTATTATAATTATGATTTAATAAAAATTTTTTATTAAAATTAATATTTAAATTTAATTAATAATGATTAAAGTTTAATTGCATCTCGAGTGGTTACAACCAATTATAGGATAAGTAAATAGTTACTCCAAATGCCGAATGAATCCAATTTTTTATAAATCTATGAAGTTGCATGCTAAAAGTTTTATTCCCGTAGCTGCCCTCTTGATGATACGGGACTTTTGTTGCTAAATGTCTAATCAAACATGATAACTTTGGTAGGCACAAAATTTGGCGAGGGAAGTTGGGAGCTGAGAAAATTGACCTTTTACATTAATAATTTATTAAAGGAGAAATAAAACAAGAAGAATTATTTAGTACATTGTCAATTATATTTTTAAATTATATTAACCAAATTACTAGACTTACATATACCTTTAAGATATATTAAAACATTAATTAAAAATTATGAAATGTGATAATTTATTAATTTTATGTATAAATAAAAAAATTACTATCAATGTATAAAGAACAAACTTGAGAAGAAATCAAAACATGACATTCCAATAAAAATCAAAGAGTATTCTAGCCAATATTGACTTTAGATGTTGAGTTCACCATGTGGCTAAGAGTCCAAGCAGAAATCGTTGTCAATTGGATTTTCACCAACTCCTTTGAGTAGGTAAGACATGCAATCATTTTCAATTTAGTAAGCTAGAATTTATATTATTTGTTTTATTATATAAAGGAGTTTCACATTGGTAAGTTATAAACATGAGTTTGGATGCATACAAGTTAGTCAAAAGAATTACATAAAATAAATAAACTTAAAGTTATAAGATATATATTTAATAGTAATTTCATTTTCCCTAATACTAATGGAATTTACGCTTAATCAAGTTTTGTTTGCATTTGATTAATACTTTTGTTATTTATTTTTTATAAAAACATAAAAAATAATTGAACTTTATTTAATAATGTCTTAATTATAAAAAACTAAAGCAAGTATATTTTTATTGATGCAAAAGTTTTGAAATTATATATATATCACGAGATATTATTCGTTTTGAAAATTAAAAGGTTTATTATCAAGATTTTATTATTTAAAAAAATCACTCAATAAAGGAAAAAAATTATTTGCTTATAAGTCATACAGTCCGATCCTTGAATGTTATTGATGTGGGTTTTTATCTCCTTAACAATCTTATTTTTTCATTTTCTCGAGGAACTAAAGACTAGCCTTTCTTATAGAATATAGATTGTGGAAAAGAGGATGTATTCTATGTATCTAATATTTGTACCATTTTGAACAAAAAAAATTGTATGTGGCATTAGTTTGGGATTAAAATATAATAATCTATTTGTTTTCTCCCTTTTCCCCACATTTTCCTTTTCATTCTCTACAATTCTGTAAAAGCTATTTGTCAAAGTCTGCCATTTAATACAAAAATTGTTGAAAATTAATATTATGTTTTTTTGGTGAGTCAAAATTAAATATTTATAGTTAGCCTTTGTTGACTTAGTTTGCTGCTTTAACTAAGTCTGATAAGTTAGTTTCATTCAGTCCAACATATAATGAAAATTAAATTGCAATCTCAACCAACTACCATTCAATGTTGAGAAAGGCAAGAAAGTTTTGCTTTTACAAGTATCTTTTTAAGGAATTGCCAGTATTAATTATATAGAATTTTAAGCTTAATAAAATTTTTATGATTTAACATATGGTATTTCCTGTTTTTTAATACAATTGTTAAATTTATTTATTTTTTATGATTAAAAATATATTTGTGATCTCATAATTTTAATTTAATTTATGCTTTGCATTTAACAAAGTATTAAAATTACATTATTATATTTGTGTATTTATCATACTCACCGGTCATTATTTATAAACTCTTAAAGTCAATAAGCTTTTCGATTTGAATTTTTAGTTTTTTGCGTAAGACTTTAACTTAAATACTAGTTTTGATAATTTAAAATATGATATATTGACATGATATGAACATGATACAAAAATAAGATATAAAAATAATATGATTTAAAATTATATCAATAACTATATATGAGTTTAATAAAATAAAAAAATTATATTTTATATTTTCGTATCGATACAAATTATGATATGTAATTTTCGTGTAAAACATGATATGAATATATGAATTTTAATATTTTATACGATACGAATACACGAATCATCAGATCTTTTAAATATCCAAATGGGTTTTAATTGCTTTTATTTTGTTTTGCTATGCATTTATTTTGAGTTAATAAAGTATAATTTTGTGAACTTGTTAATTTTTATTAATATATTATTATATATTAATGCATATAATAAGATAAATTTTTTTTTTCATTTGATCTTAAAATCAAATATAATGGTCTGTCACTTAAACTTGGCTCGTGAACGAATCTAGCTTCATATGAACTCCAATTAATTTTGGTATAATTTTTTGGTTTTGACAAAGGAGCCATTTTGTCACTTTTATTAAGTCAAAAACGGGTCACAAATTGATTTTGGAAGACCATTAAAAACTTCAAAAGGATTATGCCAACTTCAATGGTGATGGCATTTATCAATGTTAACTATCCAAGAGGGAAGAGGAAAATTTGACTTTGAATTTGGCAATATGAAAAAATTTCTCAAATCTCAACCCGACAGCCTTTGAGGACCAAAGTGAAAAAACTTTGAAAATGACAAACCTATATAAATAGTTGCAAGTCAATGATTTTTTTACTCTGTACATTTGAGAGAATTAATGAATTATAACTAGGGGTGAGATAGAAAATTCTCCCGAAAAAAAAATATTTAAATATAAAATATAAATATAACTCCAAAGTTAATCGTGAAAATTTGAATTTTGTCCATCAAATTTTAAAATATCGCAAATGTATCCTCATTGTACACGGAACAACAATTACTCGATTAGTCATGGAACAATCAACTCTTTCGCATGGTTATAGTAAGGGAAAATTGCATCTAAGTCCTTGAGTTTTTATTTTCATTTACGTTCAAATCAATATCAAATTATACGCTAATAATTTAGCTCCAAAAAGTGAAAGTCAAAATCAAATCCAGAAGATGCTTTTAAGTTAAACAACTTCAAAGATCTAAATTCCAATCCAACAATCGTTCCTTCCCAGCATATAATTCAAACCAACAAAATTTTACATTAATTTTTTTCTTTATTTTCTTTTTATT